AAGCCTCTGTGCGTGTCCCCTTGGTCAAAGCACGTCACAAAGTCAATGCCACAGTCAGTGTGGGAGGGGGTTACCCACGCATGTGATGTCAGGGAGGCATGGGTTATTGGGGGCCACTGTTGTGGGTCTTCCCACAGACACCTTTCCTTTCTGCTGGCCTTTACGAGAACAACTAAAACCTGGCATATTGTGTGGCTCCAGGGCCTGTCGGCTTAGCCCCTGCTGTTCCTTTCTACAAGTTCCTCCCCTCCTCTGCCCCTGAGACCAGACCCTGCACACACTGTAGCAACCTTGTACACACTTTCTGCACATTTAAGTGCTGGTTGCGTATCGCGACCTTCTCCGGGGGGTTTTCATGCATCATTTATGAGAAGATTCAAAACAATATTATGCTCTTTCATCGTTGTTGTTGACGTGGGCCTGAGAAGCCATCTCGTTACTCCCTGCTCCACCACCGCTGTCATTTAACAGACGGGGGGACTGAAATCCAGACTCTAAGTCCCACAGTGGGTGGGTGGCAATGCCCGGACCAGAATGCAGACCTCCTGACACTCTATCTGTGTGCTCTTCTGTCCTCTCCTGGCCCTGTGTCACCGTGTCTTTGGTCCCCAGGTGGACTGAAGCAACGTGACCCAGCACAGCCACCACAGTGCCCACCGAGCTTCTGAACTGCTGCCTCGTTCGTCTCTCATAATTCCCCCCGACATGGGATCAACACCTTGCTACCCCGAGAAGGAAAGCACAATGCACATAAGCGACTTGTCTAAAGTCCCACAGCTTCTGCGTCATAGAACGAGGACCTCATAGAACTCCGAGCTGGGCCTTCCAGTCCCCTCCCTCCTTCCCTCCTCCTCTTCTCTGGAAAGGCATTCTAGGCGCGTGGACAAACGTTCAGCTGTTTCAGAAGAACGTTCAGTGGAAACTCTATCTCCCTGTGAGCCCAGATCCCTAGGCGCAGACATGCTCAAAGCTGTCTGCCGCCTCCAGTTCCTTTTCTGTATTTGTAGAGACTCTCTAATGCATGTATAATCGCGTTCATGCATAGCCAATAAAAAGTGTTCCCCAAACGGTAGCACGCACCATGCACTGTCCTGAACCCTGCTTTTCACTCAGTGGTGTATCTTAGAGCACACCCCTTATCTGAGCTGATATATCAGCCTTATTCTTTGAAACATGTTTGGATGAATCAGCTCTCTAGTCACAGATGCCCAGATGCCTGTGCTTTTTCAAAATCCCTTTTTTTTTTTTTCCTATTCTAAACATCTAACAGTGCCATCCACGCAACAACCATTAAATCAGTGTGTAATTATGCATTGTTCCTTTTCCTCACCTCCTGGGTTCACCCCCTCCCCCACCCCCTCCCTTCACTGCATAACTGTTTACTGGGCCCCAGTGATGAGCCTGGCACTCCGCTGGGCTCTGGCAATGCTGTTTTTCCTTCTTGTTGCTGGGATCCAAGGCCACACACGGCCCTTCTTTCACACGGCCCAGTTACTACTGCTTGCAGTTGGTTTAAAGAATCTTTATTATACTTACAAATCCATTAACTTTTTTGTAAACTATTCAAACACCACTGATAAAAACTTAAAACCTTACAAATCATATTTCCTTCACCATTTACACACTTAGTCAAATTACCCCATTTCAATATAACTATACATGTAAGAGCATCTCTTGAATGCTTCAAACACCCAAAAACCCCAAACGTTTTTACTGCACCCAGATCCTATTTGTAAAAATCGTAACTATTGATTTGACCAATTTCTTTGTTCTCGCTATAAAACTTGTTTTTGTACTTTTCCAGGATTGCAATATCAGACCCAAAAGGGAGAGATTATCTCCTCCCTGGGTACATTGAAATCACAGCTTCGGGGTCATTGACTCTTGGATTCTTAGCTGGACCACAGAATCCTTCAAGGTGGCTCAACTGGCAGTAGGCATTCGCTGGTTGGGGCACCCTCTGTCATATCGGGTTCAACTGCCATGTCAACAGGACTTACAAGCAAGTTCTTGTACGGTAAGTCTCCATGTACAGTAAGTCTCAGATACTTCACGTCCTGTCTGTTTACAACGAACTTCATTACGCATCATTAGCATTTCATTGTAATTGGCAGGGCCGGGTAGCCGTTGAATCTGTTGGCAATCCTCCTAGGACATTTGGCTAATCCATTAACTTGCCACACCATTTCTGAACCCTCTTTTACCTGGTTATTTATGAGACCGCTGGTCTGGACCAGCCCTTCCTGGTTTGGGTACAGTTTCTACTCTTTCTGGAAAATGTTGACTTACTTGTAATAAACTTACCTACTCTTCTCAACTTGTACAGATAGACCACTTCATAAGCAGATGTAGAGGAACTTCAAGTAGGAACAGATCCCCATATACACCTAATTCACTTACTAAAATATTCCATTTTTACCCTTTCTCTGAATTACAGTATGCTTTGTAATTACACATAATAACTTTTCCTTTTTTATCGTGAAAGTCTCATGCCTTTCGTAGACTCACCTTGTTCCTGGAGATCAAAAACCAGAGACCTAGCTATTCTTTGTGATGTACAAGCTATCACAGCCTGGGGGGAGGGACCCCCTGTTCTCAGCTGACTGCTGCCTTCCAGCAATAGCCCAGCACTTTTGCAGTTTTCTGCTTTTCTGGCGTTAGCAAGATGTTTCAGGCCGTTCCAATTTCCCCCTGTTCCCAAACACAGACTCAGCTACTTTGAAGGAACCCTGGCTACCACTAATGAAAAATACTATTGAGATCGATATTTGGGGGCTGAGGGTACATGTAGACGTGATGGCCCTCAATGGCCACGGAAAAAACAGAATTCAGAAAAGACGTCGCTCCTGAGGTCCTAATTTTGTTCAGTGAGACTGCTCATATCGTTCTAATATTACTATCCCCTTTTCTTTCATACAGTTTTAAATGGATTTTTCTCTATGGTGTGCCTATGGAGGTTTTTAACCCTTCACTCAGCCTGTGATTATCCCCACCTCTGATTTTATCATCGCCGTGTGCCTCGAGGCCCATTATTGAGGTCACCTGTGTATATCCTTTATCAAAACCTGCTTCCATGAAAGTGTCTTATAAAATCGTGTATATATTCTTTTCGTGTAAATGCCGATTTGTCATGCAGCTATGAGATATAATTATAAAAATTATTGACACAAATATATTCAATTACATAGGATATTTATTATATAACTAGCAGCCATTTCATGTTGGTAAACCTATCGACATAAATTCTTTCATGTGCTAGCCTCGAGGGGCTGATTGCCACCAAAGGGCCAGCTGGGAAGCTTGATCTTCTCTGGGAACCATTGTGGAAGTAGGAAGCCATTAATTATATAATTCTGAGCAATTTATATTTAATTCTACCAGTATTTCTTCATTAATTGGAAGGCATTTTGAGGTATTACTGGCAAATGAAAAGAATAAAGATGTTTGCTGATTGAAAATATGCAAAGCACTCAGCAGAGTGATGGATGAGCCAGGGGTGTATTTGTCTCTCCATTTGCAAATCTGGTCCCATAGAAAGGGACTCTCTGTTGTTTCCATATGCCTGTGGCCAGGCCGGTTTTCAGTAATGATAAGTGTTCAGTGAATTTTCTTTGTATAGAGGAGGAAGAAAATGCCATGGGAATAATATAGAAAATTGTAGCTGTCCAAATAATTAACTCAGGACCATCACCCATAATCCACAGTTGTTTTTTTTTTTTAATTCGACTTTGTTAATATTCTGAGGCAAATTTTAAATTGCTTCATTTCCAAAATTCATTTTGGTTATAACATCCAGGAGCAATCCATCTGCTAATCAATAGCTAACATTTATTGCTGCTGCAAGAAAGCAACCCAGCACAAAACCAATATTGTAAGCAACCAGAACAACTCTAATTTCCTGATGGAAATCGATTCACAGCAAAATAGTGATTATTATAAATATTTATAGTTCTAAACGGAAAAGCTCATCAATGCAGCTTTTTGGGCAGTTCATTTCCAAATGAAATCTGTGATGGGCTCCACCTAGCCATCTGTTTGTGATGTAGGATGTGGTGGATGTGTGGCAGGAACCCTATGATTACCTTGGACTTGGCTCTGTGGGAGGCATGGTGGGTCGTTTGGACAAGTCTCTGATGGTGAGGTGGTAAAATGCGAAGAACACTGGGCGTGGAGAGACCCGTTCCACACCTGGGTCTTCACTGGCTGGCTGTGTAATCTCAAAAAGCCACATAACCTCTCTGAACATTCCTTTTCTCATCTAGAAAAGAACAATAATAGTATCTGTCCAACTTAACCTCCTAGTTGTCATGCCGATGAAATGAAACAAGAGGGGAAGGAGATTTCTCTGAACATGTATCTAGTGGACTGCCCAAATTCGGGGTCTTACAATGACTCTTTATCCCCCAAGAACAGGATTAAGGAGCAAGACACAAGTTTCCTGAGAAATTTGATGTCATCCTAAAGCTCAATGTCTGTGGGCATTTTACTACTGAAACACAGGTGATGATGGGAACGAATGGGTTCATTTAGTATTACTACCGCGCAGTAGGACCTGGGAAACCAGCACGAGAAAGACCTGTGTGGTTTTTGTGCTCCTGGGCCAGCTCGTGGGCAGGGGGCTGTGTAAACACATAAATGCAACTTAGTGGGGAATGGGGCAAGGTAAATAGGAGCCAGAGCCAAGGGAACACAGGGGCATGAGTGTCAGGGCTGTCCAAAGACTATCTCGAATTGAGTAGCAAGAGTGGAGGTTGTTCCAGAAAAAAGACTTGCAACAGGCAAAGATAAGCTTTTCCGGGGAACCATAAAGATAAATCAGTGTTTTCCAGATATCTCACCCGAGGTTCCCTTTTACATTTTTCCCCTTGTCTGTGCATATGTACCCTTTTCTTGAAAGTTGACTAATTCTTAAAAATGTAAAGCAGTTGTGTTTAAAAAGAAAACTATATTACTACCAAAAATGAAAAACATTTGTTATAAACAAAAGATAGCCTTAAAAATACAAGCAACACAAAACTCATTAATTTATTCAATAGGTAACTGTCAGGCTCATTTCTAGTTTCTGGGGCCAAAGGGGTGACCAAGACAGATGGGAGATAAATTCAGGTCAGGCGCTAACAGATAACGGTGCAGAAAACATTAAGGTACTTAGGAGGGTTACTTTGGATGCGGTGGTGCGGGAGGGCCCCCTTGGAGAGGTCACTAGAGCTGAGATCTAAAGGAAGTGGCAGAGCGGATCCCCTTCACAACAAAAACTGGAAACAAGGTCATGACATCTAAAGCAGACAGGCTGCCTGCAGAAAGAAGGCTGTGCGCCAGACTCAGGAAAATGAGCGAGCGTTCTAGAGGCGTGCTCACACGCATCTGAGACTTTCTGCAGGACAGTCAGGACGGAAGGCGCTTTCTCCACATGGCTCCAGGCTGCTGAATTCTGGCTGTACGAACCGGACTACATCGAGCCGGGTGCCCCCAGCGGAGAGCATCCCGCTTCGGGGAAACACAGCAACCCTCGAAAGGGAGGCAGGCTGTAATCACCCCGACTGACAAATCAGTAAACTGAGCCCAAGTAAAGTTAAATCGCTGCCCCAAATTGGTTAGTAAAGGGCAGAACTGGGACACGAACCCAGAATTCTTGCACGTCTAGCCCAGTGGCTCCACGTCAGGTGAGTCCAAGGACGCGCAGGCAGGTAGATCTGCTGGCTCCCGGCAGAAATGGGAAGACTCCCAATCCTGCGATCCGGATTCCAGGCCTCTCGTTAGCACCGTCCCAGGAGTGGCTCAAAAAGCGGAGCGCTGGAACCCGCGGAGCGGGACGCAAAGCGCGGCCGCCGGACCGGAACATGCGCACTAGACCGCCCAGCATAGACGCGCTCGGCGCTGGGGGAGGGTCATCCGAGGCTGACGTACGCTACGCCGGCGTCAGCGCCCCGTGAAGAGGAGGGCGAAGACTCCATCCGCCATGTTGAATGCCGCAGATTCGCCATAACCTCGCCGGCTCTTTTCTTAAAAAAATAAAAATAAAAAGCGAAGCATCAGCGGGGCGCCTCGCCTTCGCGGTCGGCGCGGGAGGGAGCCCGGAAGAGCCCGAGGCTTTTTTTTTCCTCCGCGGTGGGGGCGTTGCCATGGAGACGCGGGCGGCAGGTGAGCCGGGCTGGGGGTTGGGGTGGGGATGAGGTGGGGGTGGGGTGCGGCGCGGCGCGCGGGAACCCGTCTCGAGTTTGGAGTCGAGAAGAAGCGCGCGGGCCGCCGGGCGGCGGAGGGATCCGCGGCCCAGGGCGGAGAGCGGACGTAGCGGCGTCCTTCGACGGCACGTTCAGTCGTTGGTGGTATCCCGCCGCCTCGGGGTTTTATTTAAAAAAAAGTCACGAGAATGAGAGCCCGAGTGAGCGAGGGGAAACTGCGCGCGCGCGCGGGGCTGTCTCCAGGGCGACGGATGGGGCCGGCCGCGCGCCTGCGACGGAGCGCCGGCGTCCTGGCCGGCGGGAGGTTCGAATCCCCGGCCTGCCAGTTCTGACCTGCGGTCCCTGGCTGGGGCCGCCTGCTTGCCCGGCCTCAGTTTCCTCTTCTGTGAAATGGGTAGCTCCTTTAGACTCACGTAGGGACAGGGTTCGACTGAGCTGCTGGAGGACAGCTTTTTGTCCTGTAGAGGGAGCCATAAACGCCAGGGAATACCGTTGCTGCTGGTGACTGTAACCTGCTGTGATGGCCTGTCGTTTACCCTCTACCTGCCGCCCGGTTCCTTACCCTTTAAAGTTAAGCTCAGATCACCTCCTCCAGGCAGCCGTCTCTGGTTTCGCCGCCGAACCGGCTTCTCTGCTGACTGCCCCAGTAGGTGTTGGACTTTCCACCTAACACCTGGTCCGAGACCCTTAACCTTGAGCTTGGCGTTCCTCCTGTGGTTAACAGCATCGTCCACTCGCTGGCACTGGCCTCAGGCTGTTTTGCTGCTCAGTTCTCCCACCAGTGCCAATTTGTGTGTCATTTACTAATGAGGGACAAAGCTTCAGAGAGGTCAACTTCATACAGTTTTAAAATGACAGAGCAGAGGCTTTAAGAACCAGCTTCCTCCAATTTGGGATGGAATCCGGACTTGGCTTGCCTGGCTCTGCTTCCATCCCCCTATCAGTGCTCGGCCCCCAGTAAGTGCTCAGTATGCCCTGGGGGAGTGGAAGAATGAGTGAACAGGTCTCCTGCCTCTTCCAGTCTGGGTTCCTTGCAGAGCCCGGTGACCTTTCAGAAATGACAGACTTAGGGGCTAGGGGCTTACCCTCCACAGCTGTTTTTTCAGCTTCATCTTCTGAGCCTAGCGTTTCGTGTTGAAGCGGCTGCAGTGAGTGTCCCCGGCGGAAGGCTGAAGAAGACACCCGGAGCTTTTGTGTGCTGGCCGTGGGATGCCACTCACTCTCCGGCCGGAGCCGTGCATGGCACCCCTCTCTCCATGCCAGGCAGCGGTCAGGAGCCCTCATCCCGCTGTTGGGTCCGACCCTGGCGTGTGTGGAGTGCGTGGCAGAGCGGACCCAGAGCCACAGCTGTGGGTCAGGACCCCTGAACTACGCCCGCATGCTTTCTTAAGATAATGACTTGCCTGATTTGCTGCCTTCCCCCTCCCAAGTAACTCCACTACTGCTGATACACAGAACAAACTGCCTACCTCACCTCTTGGGGGGTTAACAGTTTTAGAAAAGAAACCTGGGCATTTGTTGTAGTTTCAATTTCCAGCTGGAATTAACGCGAGATCAGGTTTTTTAAATGTATTATTGTCAACTCGTGATCAGCTCATTTCTGAAAGGAGTTGCCTGTTTTGCTGGGTTGTTAGGTTGATTTAGGGGAAGCAGTGTACTACGTGATAGGGTGGAGTTGCATAGGGTCTGTAGGGCCCGGCTGTTAGGTGGTGGTCATCACAGTACATTAGAGATCGGTTACCACCGGGCAATTCTCAGCCTCTCTCGTTTACCTGGGAAAATGGTTTCTGTTCCTTTTCTCCCCTTGCCTTATAATTTGCATAACAACTTCTTAAAGATAGTTGTCCTTAAGTAGAATTAAATTTCTGCCTAGGGCAAGGGCAGTCAAGAATTAGGTATATTGAAAAGACTCTCCTTCATTACGTTTCCTTTTAAAGATAGTTTCAAGCATGCTGCCTCTGAAAACCTCCCCGTCAAGCTGGGCCGATTTAATTCTGTAGAAGGGACTGAGCCTGGAGTGACGTTTTCTCTTTGTTCTCAGCTGTTTATTCTGTTAAAATTTCACTGTCTTTGAAATTTCTCAAGGGCAGGTGTCAACTTTAAGGGCTGGAACAATTCGGAGGGTGGAGAGAACGTGTGCTCTGGGTCTGCAGATCTGCCAATCACCAGGTTCCTACCCTGAGGGAAATCTTGCAACTCTTGGAAGCCCTGTGCCTTCCCTCCGCCTGCAAAAGGAAACCTAATCCTGTTCCCTGCTCAGGGCCTGGTGGCGCTGGTGTTTATCCCTTCCCGACCCAGACCTGATCTCTCCGTCGTAAAGCCTAGTGCGTTGTCATCGACTTGCAACTTGGAAACGCTTGTGGTTGGAAAGGTGCGGTAGACTTTAATTTTTTAAAGAAAAAAAAAAGGAATCCGGGAGTGAAAGAAATAGACATATTAAACATTTATTACAGATTTGAAGTTGCCTCTCTTTTTTGTCAAGAAACAGAAAATATATAGGTAATTGAGTTTGCTTATAAAAAGATTATGCTTGGCATATTAATATAAAAAGGATTTTAAATCTGGTAACAGACTTTTCTTTGTTCTTTTAAATCGTGTAACAAATGGAACTGCAAAGTATTGAAGTCTGGAAGCTGGTGCCTTTGTGCCCCCAAACTGGGTCTGGGCTGACACAGGATGGGCAGGGTGGGGTACCTGGCTTCAGAGCAGCCCCTGGCTTTGCTGGGGCCCTCGGGGGCTGCCAGGACCCACTCAGCCTTGGCACCTGGAAACGGGGAGCAGGAGGCTTTGGGAGCAGCATTCTGGAACTGGGGGTCTTGGGCTTCCTGGCGTCCTGGAGGGCCTTGTAAGACATTGCCACGGCTCCTTGTGGGGCCCTTACTGGCTTCCTTCTCTGTGTCAGTACTCCGCCTTTTTGCCACCAGATCTTTCCTTCAGGGGCCACCACCACTTCTCTGCCCCTCAGGACCTTTTCTTTTCCTTTTTTTTTTTCCCACTGCCAAGCTGATTCCTGGGTTCACCCAGATGCTTGTGCCAAGAGCTGGGAATGGAAGGTCCAATCTGACACACTGTTTCCTCCTAAGGCCATGGCACTGTCCTAGCAGTGGAAAACCCATTCCCTTAGGAGAAAGTGCCCAGTGCTCTGATGGGAGTGAGCCCCAAGAATTCAGGCCAGGGGATTCAAGGAGGGCCTTCCTGAAGGAGGAGGTGCCTGAACTGGAACTTGCAGAGTGAGCAGAGGTACACTGCAGAGGGGTCTGTGGTTCTGAGGCCCAGGTGTGAGCCACCCACAGCTGTGTTTTGTGTGACCTGGGTGAGTGCTAGGGCCGGAGGCAGGGGTGGGGATGCTAGAGGTCTGTGGGGATGGTCTCTCGAACAGCAGAAAGCTGTTGGGACTTTCTTACGAAAACTTTGAACAACGAGAGGATAATAGGGCCTGCCAGTTTGCCTCAGCAGCTGGCAGCTGCGTGAGGACAATTTCTTTGAGGTGTAATGATAGATAGAGTGAAATGCACAGACCATGAATGTACAGTTTGACCACCCGTGTTACCACACCCTGGCAGGGTAGAACTTTATCCTCCCTCCGGAAAGTTCTTTCTTGCTGCCTCCCACCCAATTCCTGCCTCTCACCCCAAGCAACCACTGGTCTGAGTAATGTCACCACAGACACCTGCTTTTCGTGGAACATCATAGAATTCTTTGGTGTCTGGTTTCTTTCACTCAGCATAGAGGTTCTGAGATCCAGGCTTGTGTTTCTTTTATTTTCTAATAGCATTCCATTGTATGGATGTTTATATGATAAAACACCTGAGCTTCTTTGCAGGTTTTGGTTATTGTGAAGAAAGATGCCATGACCATTCTTGTACAGGGTTTTTTGTAGACCTATATTTGCATTGCGTTTGGGTAGTGGAATGGCTGGGTTGTAGGACAGAAGTGTATTTAACTTTTTTTTTTTTTTAAGCGTGAGAGAGCACGCGCACTTTTGCACAAGCCTGGGAGGGGCATGGGGAGGGCCAGAGGGAGAGGGAGAAAGAATCCTAAGCAGCTTCACTCTGAGCCTGAGGCGGGGCTCCATCTCACTGCTGAAGTCATGACCTGAGCTGAAATCAAAAGCCGGACGCTCAAGTGACTGAGCTACGCAGGCACCCCAGCTTTTTAAGAAACTTCCAGATAGCTTCCTGGAATAGTAGTGTTTTGCACCTCTATCAGCCCCGTAGGAGAGTTCCACTTGCTGCACATGCTCACCCACATCTGGCCTTGTCACTGTTTTTCCTTTTGATTTAGTCTAGAGGGAGTGCAGGGAGCATCTCATTTAATTTGCATTTCTTTGATGATCAGCGATCCTGAGTACCTTTTCTTGGACTTTACCAGCCATTTGTATATCATCTTTGGAGAAATGTGGATTTAAATTTTTTGCCTATTTTAAACATTGGGTTGCTTGTCTTTGTAATTGTTGGCTTGTAGGAGTTCTGTATATATAGTCTGAATATGAGTCCTTTGTCATAGATATGTGTTGTGAATATTTTTTCCCAGTCTCTGCTCACTTATTAGTTTTCTTAATTTTATCTTTTGTTCAGAAGTTTATAATTTTAATAAAGTCTGATTTACCATTATTTTTGCTTTTATAGGTAGTGTTTTTTGTATCCTCTTCTAAGAAATGTTCTCCTACTTTAAGGTCACAACGATATTCTCCTAAGTGTGTTTATATATTTATTTTTAAAGCTTTATACTTGCTTTTAGGTTGGGGTCTACCGTCTCTCTCAAATTAGGTTGTGTACGGTGTGAAGTAGGGATCAGTGGAATAGACCAGGAAGCTCAGAGTTGGACCCACACATAGTTTTCAACAAAAGGTCCAAGGTAATTCAGTGCAGAAAGGAAAGTCTCTTCCAACAAATAAGTCTAGAAACACTGGACATCCACACAGGGGGGCGGGGTGTGGGGATGGGAACCCTGTGGTTGGGAGCTTCTAGGGGCTCCAGGAATCTGTCCTGAGCGGCGTGAGCCCTGCCCCAACATCCCTGCCCCTGGGCCACAGGCGGGGAACCGGGCTCAGGTCGTGCAGGGATTGGGGGCCCTAGAATGGAAAAAGCCGTGGAAGCCCTGGTCCTGCTGTCTCAGGGCTGTGGGACCTTGGTGAGTCATGGCGCCCCTGTTGCCCTGTGTATAAATAGGGCTCCTGTTGTAAAGGGCCAGGAGAGGAGGCTTGGGAACACACCTGGTACATGGCAGGTTCCTTTCCTTTCTTCTACCATCTGTCTTTTCCTTCCGTCTCTGAAGCCTCACCTTCTTCCCCTGACCATCTTGTACGTTTCAGTAGCGTCTTTGAGAATTAAATGCTTAATCAGAGGGATTTTGTAATAATACACAATAAAACATGAAATAGAGGCCTGACCTCTACGAAAGCATGCAGTTGCTGGGGGAGTAAGCTAGGGTCTGGTACTAATAATAACTGTCATGTCTGCAGACCTGCTCAGTCAGGTGCTTCACATCGGTTATTCTGCGCAAAAGCCCTGTGAAGTGGCCATATCATCTCTGCAAACAAAGAAGCAGAGGTCAGGTGTGGTGACAGGGAGCTCCGTGGTCATTCAGTGTTGGCACCAGCAGCCCAGCACACATTGGGCCTGTGAGCCCTTAGAGAGGCTCCTTATGGGCCCTCAGTTAGGACCTTGCCTGGTTCCAGAACCTGGGCCTGGACCAGGCTGTAGGGAAAGGCCTGGGTCTGCTGCTGAGGCCTGGCGGCTGGGGGAGATCTGGGTCACCAGAGATAAAAGCAGCGTCTTCCTGCTACTGCCGACACGTATCTGGTCCTGCTGTGTGCGCGAGGCCCTGGCTGAGGCCTGAACCTTCGACTGACTGCTCACGCCGTACTCCAGGAATGGTGCCCCCAGAAGTGGGACTTGCGGGGGCCCCGAGAGTCCCGTTCTCACAGCCACAGAGAAGATGAAATCAGTTAAAGAATGAGCAAAAGGTTTGAGAGAGATTTTGCAGAGGAGCTGATACAAGTGGGCAGGATGCGTGGGAAAAGATGCTCACCATCATTATCACTGGGGAGTTGTAACTTAAAGCCACGACAAGATGTATTCCACAGCTGCTAGAGTGGCAGAAACTACAAAGACTGACGACATCCAAGGCGGGTAAGAGTGTGGAGCACCTAGAGCACTCACAGGTGGACGTTGGGGAGGGAGGCAGGATGGCGCAGCCGCTTTGGAAATCATTGGGAGGTTTCTTACAATGTCAGACACATACCATCTAACTCAGCAGTCCCACTCCTACGTAATTACCCAAGATAAATGAAACGTGTGTCCACGTGAAGACCTGTATGCATGTGTTCATAACAGCTCCGTTTGTGGTAGCCCTAAATTGGAGTCACCCCAAATGCTCATCAACGGATGAATCGCTAAACCTGTTGTGGTACAGCCACACAATGGAATATGGCTCATCAATAAAATTGAATGAACTGCCAGTGAGGCAACAACATGGATTCTTCTGAAAAACATGTTAAGTGAGGGGCGCCTGGCTGGCTCAGTCAGTAGAGCGTGTGACTCTTGATCTTGGGCGTTGTAGGTTTGAGCCCCGCGCTGGGTATTGAGATTACCTAATAATAAAATCCTAAAACGCCAAAACCAAACCAAACCATGTTAAGTGAAAGAAGCCAGGCACAAAAGACTA